ATTACTGGGCAACGTGTGGGGAGAGGAGGCTGGAACAGCTCCACTCTGAATGGAGGGAGAGGAATGGTGGTGGGAATCCACATTGGGAGGGGTTCCTAAGTACCTTTATCATGGATTGTATCAGTGACGTGCAGTCAGCTTCATGGCCGGTGAGAGTCCCGCTCTATGGCGGACACGGCGCCGGGGCTTCGGCGGGGCTTTCGCGCTTGCCTCACCGGCCATGAAGCTGACTGCACGTCACTGATACAATCCATGATAAAGGTACTTAGGAACCCCTCCCAATGTGGATTCCCACCACCATTCCTCTCCCTCCATTCAGAGTGGAGCTGTTCCAGCCTCCTCTCCCCACACGTTGCCCAGTAATGGTTCTCATGAACCAGACCGTACCCTCTGAAACCCACCTCTGCATCATATCTAACCTTCCCCCTCTTTGTCCACCAAAAAATGGCGGATACATGGATCTGACAGGTATATGGTCTCCTGATTGTGCAGGGGGATGGACTAGAAGACCTCCAAGGTCCCTTCCAATTCTGTTATTCGGTATTCTGCTCAAATGCCTCAGTAAAAGGCTATGTAGTGTGGAAAGGCACTGACTTTTTATCATTAAAAGTGTCACAAACTGCCTCTCTCTTTCTTCTTAGATCAGCTATGGTGTTCTCAGCCACATTTCTTGGCAAAATAATCATTTCCCTTTTTTCTACCGGATGACCCCAACCCAAGATCCACCTTATTCAGCAATTGTCAAGCTGCTCGTGCACTTCCAATGGACCTGGATCGGCCTCCTTTCTCAACACAATGACAGAGGAGAAATCTTTAAAAGAAGCTTGGAAACACTCGCTGTAAAAAGTGAGATTTGCATTGTCCTCTCAGAGAGCATCTCTGCATCGAATATAGATTTAAATCTTGGACAAATGTCTAAGCAAGATGAAAGCAAAATAGTCGTTTTTTTAATGAATAATCAAGTGAAAATTATAGTTTGTCAACTGGATTTTCATGCCACAACCATACTATTTTCACTAATATATATTAATGAAAAGAATAACAACTTCATTGGGGGGAAAGTGTGGATTGCAACAATCTTCTCTGATTTCAGTATCAGGCTCTTTTACCGCGTGCTTGATCTCCAAAATAAACATGCTTTGTTTTCCTTCCTCACCAAGACAAAGAGAAGGACACAGTACTATTATTTTAATTTATATTCTTCTACTGACAAACAGTTTGTAAAGAAAGCATTCAAGTGTTCCCTTTCAAGGCCTGTGTTGTCTAAGAAAGTTTGGGAAAGATGCACAGAAAATGAGATCCAGGAAAACCTGCCCCATGCTATGGTTAAAAGATACCTGTTGAATGATGGCTCCGGTATTTCTGAAGTAATCCAAGCTGTGGCCTGGATCCTCAGTGCTGCTTCTTCCTCCCAAGTGAGTAAGAGATGGAAGCAGGTTAGAGGCCATCAGTCACCTCAGGTTGTACAACCATGGCAGGTGAGGCTTCTCCTTCTGGGTTCCACGGATGGTCCCCTTTTGATTCCTCAACATTAAGTTAGTTGTAAGGAGAATTCCTTACCATATCTGTTTGAGATATTCCAAACAGCTCAATTTGTCAAGCTGAAGAGAACTCTAAAAATCAAGGCAACTCAAATGGGTATAAAGATTTATTGCAAGCTTATGCTCTGTATAAGAAAATGAACTACGGCAAATAGTCTAAGTAAATTGGTGGTAGACAAGAGTCAAAGGAATTCAGGATGGGCTGGACTTAGGTTTCTTGTGGGCATGAATGGACTTGAGACTGATGATGCATTTGACCCATCCCTCAGGCTCATCTTGGTTATCTCCTACACAGTCTGTAGTGTTTGAGAGTGAGTGTGTGAGAGATTCTGAGGATAAACCTCCCATGTTTATACTGGATTGGAGTGCTCACTATAAACAGCTGTATAGTGACAACGGGATTTTCCCCATTTGTAAATTAAATAAGCATCATTCTCCAGCCATTCTCAGTCCTCCCCTGTAGTAACACATGTTCATTTTCGTGACCCGTCAAATGCGCGATCGACAAATCCGCGCTGACAAATCCACGCCGACAAAACTGCGCCCGCCATCAACAAACAACTTAGTGGGACGTGAAAACAACATTATAAAGGGTTAAGGTTAGGGTTAAGGTTATAACGTTGTTTTCGTGTCCCATTATGTTGTTTGTTGATGGCAGGCGCGGTTTCGTCGGCGCGGTTTCATTGGCGCGGATTTGTCGATCACACATTTTATGATGAAATGTTGGTTTTGCCTTGTTTTCAACCTAAGGAGTTAGTCTTGACATTCTGTTCTGTCCAAAGCACCTTCTGGGCTAATAAACAGCTCATCCATGCATCTCCTGAACTCGTTCTGATACCTCGGGAGATAATCTTTGAACTTTATAATGCAACCTTTCTCCCATTCGTAGTCCAAAGCTAAGCCTTTCTAACTTGATCTTTTCCATTTTGGAGTTTTTCCAAAATGCTGTTACACAGAGGCTCTTGTTGCAGCTTGGAATGAGCAGGCAATGAGGGCCATGGACCAAATAGCACCTTTGTGGACTCTCTGTGTGTGGATCGCATAGAGCAACATAAGAGATGCTTAGAGGGCCACTGGAGAAAGACAAAGAACAAAGCCAATAAACGCTAGTAAGAGCCTACATTAGGCCCTTCCTTGTGGTGATAAAAGTGGTGAATGATAATTACTTCTCTGCTCTGTTTTGAGTAACCGGGTCTTCCCTGGAAAAAGAGGAATTGGTAGACACATAGCAGGGTTGCTGTGAGATATTCTTGGCAGCTGTCAGATAAAGTCAGTTAGCTTCACTCAGAGTTGGACTCTAGTTGGTCAGACCACTTGAAGGTGATGCAGAGATATCTGACCTCAACCACTAGCAATTCTATGGGTCTCTTCTCTTGATGTCGTGACTAGTCTACTGGTTACAATGTCCACATTCTATAGCTTCCATGTAATTATTCTCTCTTCACCCTGCACATCCAGATGGTGGTGCTCTGGTGTTAATAGCTATGCTATCTAAAGGACAGCAACAATGGGGTATTTGCAACCCACTAACCCATTCACAGTTGGGTTGGATTACCCAGAAAAGAACCTTTTCAGGCACTTGGAAAAGGAGTATGAGTTCATGTTTTCTGAATAGTACGTACAAAACCAGGATTTTTCTTTTAAGAAAGGCATTAGAAATTAAGAAAGTCTCATTCAGTTATCACAGGGAAAAACTTGCATTTGAAATTTCAGCTTTATTTTCATTTTTCAAAATCATAATGCTGAACTAAGGATTGGTAGGACAACATAGTGATTCATTCAAGGAAGTGGAAAGCATATCTGAAGAATATCTGATGTTTTCTAGAGAAGGAGGGAGAGAAGCTTCCCATAAATATTAAATCGTCATCTATCAAACAGAAGTGCTGAGCTGAAGAGGCTGAATTATTCAGAGCACTTCCAATGAGAATAATAACCAATAAAAAGTAAAATCAAGACTCAAATGGTAATGTGTAAGCTGCATGTATAGTGTTCTATATGTTTGCAGCTTCACCAGTTCATGAGAAACTTCCAGCTTCAAAATCTTTCCAGGGATGGAGTTTATTTGGATGAAAATGGGGTTCCCTTTGCTGACTTTGATATCATGCACTGGAGAATGTTTCCCAACAAGTCCTCCACTGGGGTGAGAGTTGGGAGTGCAGAAAGACAAGTCATCTCCAAAGTCAAGGTCTCCATCAGTCCGAGTGGCATCGTATGGCCAAGATCATTTAACAAGGTAGCTGATGCTTTTTTTGGTTTTGCTCTTTTATTTACCTCTACTTATGCAAACATCTGTGCTCAGAAATAATTATTATTTAATTATTCGCTAATCAGATAATATTGTTCTTATAGAAATGGCTAGTTTATATTAGTATGTAAAAGGGGAAAATGTGGCTTATTTACTGTGTTGTGAAGAGTCGGACGTCAATATCTTTTATTTTTTTCCCTGTTAGCCTAGCCTACTCTTCCTTCTCTCTTTTTTCTTTCTCATATTTTCTGTGTTTTCACTTTTTTTTGTTTAGTATCCTGGGAAGGTTACTGTTCTGACCCGCCTCCGTACAGTGAGTCACGCCGACACAAGATTACTGCTAGACAATTTATTCACAGTAAATTAACACACCAACAAGACTTTGGCAGCAACCCAGACTTCCACAAATAAAAAATACACACCAGAGCTTCTCCAGCTTTAGTATAATAGTTGAGTCCTGCAAACAGCCTCTTCCCAAAGTCGCTTCTTATATACTCTCTTGGGAGGAGCCTAATCAGAACTACCTGGCCCCAATTATTTTCTATATCTCCGTAGCACTGTTTCCTCTAAGGTGCGCGGCTGCGCGGCCGCGCA